CCCAGCCCTGTCCGAGGCAGGGCCCATGGGGTGACACCCTCCTGGGAACAGCCACTCCTGTCAAGAGGAAAGCAGCTTACCCTTGAAAGTTACTTTGCGAAGGTCAAGAGTGGGACTGTGACAGAGCAGCCTGACAAACACATCTCCCTAAGTCCTTGGGCCCGATAATGTATGTCCCATGCAATGTTGACACTAGTGATCCACCAAAGATCAGGTTAACAAGTTTGACGTTAGTGACAGCGTGATTTGTTCCGTGCTGGCTCTGGATTCATAGAGCCGCTGGCCTTCGGTGATAAACTATTGCGCCGTGCACACGAGGCTGTGGCACTTGTCACCCGCCACAGCACCGAGATGAAAAGGAAGCAGAGCTCTAATCAAAATACAGTGGTCAGTAGGGGTTGAGCTGAAAATTAAAAGGTGCTGGTACTTTTCCCACTCCAGCCTGGCTTTCCAGGCAGCCCAGGGTGAGGGGAGAGGCTGCCTCTGCACAGCTCCAGCTTCGTTTGAAGGTGAGGACAAACCCATCACCCCACGTGTGCAGAGCATCCTGTGCCACCTCACAGGGAGCCCCAGCACTGCTGATCTTCAGGGTCCCTCACTGGGAATAAATTCTGTGTGGCACAGTGCCCTTATCCCAGTTCCCAGCCACAGCAGCAGCGCCAAGGCCTTCCCCACAGTCACAGTCCATTGCAGAAGCACAGCAGCAGACAGGGCAGGGCCACAGCCACCACCCAGAGCAGTGCTGGGCTCACCCTCCCTGAGAGACAGCCACCACCAAAAGGAGAAGGCACAAACAGCCAGGAGACACCAGCGGTGCAGAACATTTCACATTTATTAGTTCATACAGCTAAACACTCACTAAACATGCATTCAACACTTATTGGTCACATTTCCACAGGTAGTCAAGTCCCAGAGCAGAGCAGGGGCAGGGGCAGGCCGGGCTGGCAGGGAGCTGCCAGCAGAAACATTCATTTGGTCGTGGCGCGGTGAGGGGACAGCTCCCGGTGCCTGTGCCCCCGTGGGTGACACGGGGCCAGGCCACCCTCCTGCCCCAGCCCCAGCTCTGAGTGTGCCAATGTTCACTGTGTGTCATGCCAGGCAACATCCTGCTTCCCTGATTTACACAAGGGATTGTGAGAAAAATGAACAGGAGAAACCATCACTGGGAACGTCACCAAGAAGGACCCAACGACTGGGACTGAGCCTCTTGGAAACATCCCTCAAACCAGCAAGGGGCTGACACAAACCTGACCCAGGATGGACACACGAGGCCCTGTGAGGTCACAGGTTACAAAGGCAGCCTCTGCACCAGGACTGAGCTGGAACCAGGTCTGTGGCTTGATGGGCACTGACAAAACCCAAAGTGCCATGAGCCACATCCTCCCCAGGGAGGGACAGCAGAGCTCAGCCTCAGGCACGGGACACACAGCAGTGACAGGAGCCAAGCCCCAGCCCACGGGAAGGGAAACACAACTCCAGCAATCACAGCCCCTGTTCCTCACTGGCAACAGACACTGGCAGTGTTTAGTTTTTCACACAATCCCTTTGAGATGATAAACAGGATGTCACACGAGGTAGTTTAGTTATGGAAATTGAGTCAATAATGTTATCAACTATTACAAGACATTTTATAAATTGAAAGAAAACAATGAATCACAAAAGGCTTTGTTAAGGTTGATCGTCATCTGGTCTCAATTCTGTTTCTTTTTGCCCTTGGGGGCATTTCTTCCACTGAACCATGTTGCTTCTTTCACAGACTTGTCAGAGGGCAGCTCACAGGAGCTATTTTAATTTTATTTTTTTTCCAAGGGAAAGGCACTGCCTGGATTGGCCTTCCCAGCTTTTTGTGAGGCTGATTTAAACTAAGATTTGCAGATCCTGGCTGAGGGTGCTGGGAGGAGGTTTCAGCCCTTCAAACTTTTGCTGACCCAGTGCTGGCTGTGTCTGTGGCTGGTCGGGGTCATTTGGACACTCATAGCAGCTGTAACCCAACCAGAGTCACACACCTGTGCCCTTCTCAAACTGACTGTGTCTACAGCCACAGTGAGAAAATTGTACTGATGAAAATTAAGAATTCCTAAGCAACAGAGTACAGAGCCCTGTAACTGGCTGCCAGGGACACAATGAGAAATTCCTGTTTCCCCTTTTCCATGAGCAGTCAGACATTTAACACCAAAGGCAGAGGGATGAGGTAACAGGGGCAGAAATTGAGCCCCACAGACAGAGCTGGTGCCCAGCTGCTGCGTGGTGCAAGGGCACAGCCTCATACAGCCCCGTGCACCTTTGGGATGCTCTGCCCACGGGACCACATCTGAGCCTTTGGCAGGCAAGCTCCCACAGCCAAACACAAAACTTTTCCCCCAAAATCCCCATATGGGGCTCTCGGTGGGTCCTCCAGACAAGCTGGGAAAGAAGCAACTGTTGCAACATCAAAACTAGGGTTTCTCTGGGTCACATTTTAAATACTTATCCCTGAGCTTCTGTGCATTGAAACAACACACCGTGAACCCAGAGAAACACCACAGCTTGATACTGATAGCTATGCACTCCCCTCCATTTACACATCATCTACAACTTAAAAATTAGTTTCATACTTTAACTAGTTCCCCAAGTTTCCCCCTTTCTCCTGCCTTTCATGTGGCAGGGATGATTGCCGCTTATTATCCTGAGAAATAACAACATTTTCACAGACACTGAGCTTCATAGCTTCAAATCAAAACCAAGAAGGAAGAAAGAACGAATGGGAAATAGCACATTCACAGGAGAATCTTTTTTTTCCTTTTTTTCCTTTAAAAAAATGTAAAGATAAAAGAAATTCAAGTGGTGGCTTTTTTTTTTTTTTTAAAGTTGGTTTGAAGGACAAGACTTAAACACCTTTACCTGAAGTGGCTGTGGGTCTGTGCAGAAGCCTGAGGAGCAAGGACAGATCCTGCTGGCACAGGGAGGGATGGCAGCAGAGGCACTTGAACCTTTGCATGGGTGGGGACGGGGCCACCAAGGCCCCCACCAGCAAGTGAGAGCAGCCCAGGAGCCCTGCTAGCACCCCTGGGACCCTTTCCTTTCATGGGCACCCTGAAAGCAACAGCCCAGCACTGGAAAACGGGTGGTAGGAGGGTGGCAGGTCCCCTGCACTGCAATGCCACTGAGCACTGGTCACTCTGAAAACGCCATGCTCCCCCTTCCGCCTGTGTGTGATGGGAGATGGCAAAAGGTTTAAGAATTAAATCTCTGGATTTAAGAATTACAGAAGAATCCAGATGCTCCCTGATGGCCCAAAGCATGCAGTGGCTCTGCAGAAGTGAGAGCATGAAGGGCACTGGCACAGATCACAGCTGAGCAGCACAGGGGCAGGGCAGGGAGTGCCAGGTCCAGCTGCTCATCCCCTGCCCAGGGGCTGGACATGCTGAGAACAGGGATGGCAACTGACCCACACTGAGGGGGCAAGGCTCAGCCCACTTGGAGGAGCCTGAGCTGAAGGGGAACAAAACTCACTTTGCAGAAGGTTTTGTTGAGGCTCCGAGGTCTGGCATTCTCCTGGGACTGAGTCCTGTGAGCAGGGACCCCTTCCAGCCTCCCCTGAGCACGTGAGCCTGAGCACTTCAAATTTATGTCCCAAATCTCTGTTTAGATTAAAAGTAACTCTTCAGCTTTCCATCTGCACAGATGCTTTGAAGGAGAAGAGGGGGTCAGCCAGCCAATCTGTCTTTCAAATCGGGGATAAAAATTGACTTGTCATGGCAGAAAATTCTACCAAAGACTATTATTGTTGATAGATTTCTCTATGACAGAAGGTCAGATAAGCAAGAGCAGATAGATACCAAAGATAATGAACTTCCCCCTAGTAGCATTAAGCACAAATAAAATATGAGTCCCTGTAAACTGAATGTTACGTGAAGAATGGAACAAAAATTCCAACCTTTCCAGGGTGTCCTTCAAACCAAATTCACAAATACATCTACCTAACATCTCTACATCTCTAGCTACATTCCTACCTTCTCATAATACCTGAGTTTGCAATGCAACACATTCACATTACCCTGTTTAAAAAATACAAGTCATTAGAGGACTTGGTGCAGAAGATATCAGGAATGACTGTCCAGTGATTCTGTCTGGTCTGTTTGCTGCTTCCTTACCTGTCAGTTCAGGAAGGATTTTCTACTCCCTATGGCAAATGTGTATTTGGGAACGGATACTGCTGCCAATCAACCTTTGTAAAATTTGCTTTCTACAACAGAAAGTGGAACATTCCTGTCTGTTTGTCATCATAACTGAATTTAGGTTTTTGGTTGTTGTTGGTATAGCATTAGTTTTGGGAGGCTATTTTTGAAAACCACAGATTACCCAATAGATTATTTTTGTTGGATAGCTGGCAACAAGATGACTGCTTTTATGTACACTAATTAAAACACTTATTCATCAACAGATTATAATAATTCAGTAACTGTAGAATAAAATTACTCCTATGCAATTTTAACAATTCCTTGAGTGTAAAAAACAGCAAGCCAGAAATAACCCGTAATAAAAAGATCACATCAAGCTATTTGGAAATTAAACTTAAAAGCTGAGAAATACATTCTAACTTACAAACAGATACACTAAAATCTTCCCCTGAACACGTGAGGTATGGGCTGTATGCAGAAGGCTTTCCTGAGAATTCACACGTGTCTCATTGTACTGGCAGAAAGTAAATGAGATTTATGGAACCACCTTTGGGTGCGAAGCTCCACCGAGCTGAGCTGCTGCTGTGCCCAGCAGCTGTTACCCGTAACATCCTGTTAAATAATGAGAAGTGAACAGCTATGGACTTTGAGAAGAGGGAAACCGTTGAGCTGGGAGATGCCCAAGCGGGATGCCAGCGGTGTGACCAGGATGTGCCAAACCAGCAGTGACAGCCCCCTCGGGCTGCAACCCAGGGAACACCCACTGGCCACGGGAGGGAGGGAGAGAGGGAGGGAGGGAAAGACGACTTTGGTGAATGGGATTTTTCTCCTGCTCACCATCACATTCATGCACAGCAGCTGCAGCCCTGCTGAGCTGTGCTCACTCTGTGCCACGCAGCTGTCACCAAAGGTGGTGACTCGTCCCTCCTACCCTGAAGGAACAAAAGTTGTTTCCACAAGTATTTTAAAATAGCATTCAAACACTTATCACCTTGCTAAGTGAATGCCAGATTTACATCTGAGGAGGAAGGGAAGGAAACCCAGCCAAGACTGTCTAGGAGAGTGACTGGAGTCTTTGAATATTAATTCCTAATGAAGGAGATGAGATCAAGAGCATCTCATCCAACCTCCCCACCATAAGCAGGAAACCATGAGGTCACTCATGAGAATGCCCAAGTTTAGCTAAACACCAGCACTCAGCAAACACTCAATCAGCTAATCAGCTGTCATTAAACCAGTTCTCCATCTGGAATTGTGGCGAGGCTGTGAGGTGGAAAATCCAAGCCTTGCAACACCTAGAACATGGCAGGTAACCAAGTACAGCAGTAATGTCCTTTTTCCTGGGATTCCACAAGGAACAGGGCAGTCCTGGCAGGATATAATTATGGAACACCCATTCCCTGAGTCCAGCAGAGAAAGCCTTGCCAGAGGACACTGGAGTCCCTCACCCCACTACACAGGCCCCATTTAACACAGGATACAGTAACTGCTCCCAAAATGGGAATTGCTGTAACACAGAAGCCTCTCGATCCAGGTACCATGTTGGAGGAACACATTAACAGGGGCAATGCTGCCTCTTCTCTAAGTAGGTTTTTCCTGCTTTTGTAAACCTAAAATGGATTTTAAGGAAGTGATGATAAAGTCCTTGCTGTTCTCTAGCAACAGCAGCACCTTTGTGTAATGACAGGAGCCTGTAATGAACTGCAGGAACACAATTTCCGAGGAATTGGCAGGTGCTGTGGCAGTAGTAAGAGAGCAGCTGGCCAGGAGGGGCTGGGGCAGACCCCACTTGCAACTCTCCAGAGAGGACAGGGCCAGGGAGCCCCTCAGAGCACTGCCATCCCACTGGAAACCTGCATCTGGAAACTGCCAGGGGAAAAGAAACCAACTGCCTAGACAGACTTCTCCACTCCCTGCCTTTTTAAAATTAAAGAAAAAGCTTGGCACTTCTCTAGCACCCACTTCTCCAAAGTCGTCCCTTTGGGATATAACAGCTCTGTCAACATTTGCTCTCTATGACAAATGCTTTGGATGCAAATCATGGAAAGAGCAGTGCGTGAACAGCATCTTCTCCTTGAGGTAGTCTTAGTCATCTCGGTCCCCAGCCCCAAATACAAAAGAACTAACCCTAACAAACACTGTAACATTAAACATCTTCACATTCTGTAAACCGCTGGAGAATGCATCTGCTGCATTCTTACAGAACCATGTGCATCGTGTTGAAGATCATACATTCAACTCTGTCGTGAAATAAATATATAGGAAAAAGAGTAAAAAAACAAAACAAAACAAACAAAAAAACAAACAAAAAAAGATTCTTGCTACAAGGGCAGGGAGGCCCCCTGCCCTGTCTCCTGCCTGGATGGCGTTTGCCCCTCTCCCAGCCCGAGGCTCAGTGTAAGGCACCGGCCGGGCCAGCTGCGCTCACTCCTTGCTCACACTCGTCTTGCAGGAATGTAGAACGGCCTTAAAAAGGAGAGGCAGCTGCTCCAGGGGGACATTCACCATTTTTCCTGGTAAGAAAGAGACCAGAATTAGAAGCCACTCCCGAATCAGATTTCAGAGACACCTAAGCCAGCAGCACTGGAGACGGTTTTTACCTTGAACCTCTCACAGAAACAGTTAATCATCCTACAGCTACATTAGATATTTGATATGCATTTGGACACAATATGATTTATCATTTAACAAACAGAAAGCAAAATAAATGGGCGAAGTCAGATCAAAATGATTTCTCCACATTGGAGTATTTATAGAAAGTGGGAAAGGCTAAATCCCACCTCACCTCACACCCCCTTGTTGATGTCTGTGAGTAAATTACGAGAGCTACTCTGAGATTATTATCTAGCTCATTATGACGAAGTAGGATGAAGCATACAGAGCCTTGACACAGGCAGGCAAGCATCTCCCTTTGCCATAACATTCAGGAACATTCAGTTTTAGTAACACCAGACCTTGGAGATCTAATTAGCAACACAACCGCAGCTGAGAATTCACCTGTGGATTTCCGAGGTCCAGACGAGGAAATCTGGGAGTTACAGCCTGAACTCTGCTGATCACTTTCTGCTCAGTTCAGGGATCTCCCTAATTCTGATGAGATAACTACTCAAACGAGGATTACACCCCTTTGAGACAAAATGCTCCTCAGATGGGAGTGAAAGAAGAATAAGGGGAGACTGAACAATGTACTTGAAGGGTGTCAGGTTGGAGCAAGGCACCTCTTCCCAGAGTGGGACTAACCCTGTGCCCACCTGCATCACCAGGACCATGCCAAGAGCCCCTCAGACTGGATGAGCTCAGGGCAACGGGATGAGCTTAAAGATGGGCAGAAGCTCTTATAGAAAATGGTCCCACACAAACATCCTCAACCAAAGTCCACAAGAATTTCACTGCAGTAAGTTGATTATCTTTCAGAAGCAAATTTCCTTACTTGCTCCCAGCGGGAGCAGTGCTCAGAAGTTACCTGCAATATACCGAATCTCTGGCAAACACATCATTAAATCCGGGAAGCGGTTTGGCTGGTGGGGGTATTTGTACTCGGTGAAGTCCTGGCACACGTACCAGTACCGCTTGTTCAGCTGCTCCAGCTGGGAGGCGTTGGTCAGACCCCTGATATCTGGGAAGGAATACAATTAGAGCAATGAAGACATGACAAAAACATCTCAGAAGAGCAGCAGCCTCACACTTACTGACATTTCTTTGTGACAGACTTTCTGTCACTCTGATGTGGGCCCCTGCTTTGGGGCTTCTGGCTTCCAGCACCCAGTTAGACCAATACCAAAATTCCCATTTCCCTTTCAGCTGTGCCTGCATCACGGATGTGTCTTTATATGTGTGTCTGGATGCAGGATGTCCCTCCACAAAAGGCTGGGAAGAGAACAGCTCATGTCCTACACTGCTCATCTGCAGCTCAGTGAATGCTCTTGGAGAGAACAGCCCCAGCAACTGAAATCCCTGCCTGGCACAACACAGCCAGGTGTCAGGTTTGGTTCTCAGAGCAGATCAGTACATCACCTCCTCAGACAGAAACACATTGTTTTTAGCTGTATCATCTCAGCTGAGGACAGCACTCGCTCTATAATTTAAGATACCACCACATTTCTCCCCATCTGCTTATGAATTATGTCACGAGAGCTTTATAAATTTGTCAAGCTCTTATTTTTAAATTTAGCTTTGCCAATGTCAGGCAGCACACACAAAGGAAAAATGGACAGGCAGGAAGTCCCAGTGGCACAGTGACCAGCAGCATCAGCACTGACAGGTCCTGGGGAGGATCCAGCACAGAGGAAGCTGTGGAGCCTCGGAGCAGGCTCGGAGCTGGGAGACCACCTGACGGAAGAGGCATTGATCTACTGCCCAAAAGCTGACTTTTAAAAATAAGTCTCAGGTATTTCACATAAAAAATTGCAAACTTCAACTAAAAATAAAAGAAGACAGGAAGTTAATGAAAATACATTTTGGAAAACAATGGAGACAGCTCGAGAAGTGCATTATCCAGTGTCAGGAAACTGCCCAGGGAAGCAAACCGGAACCTCGGCCCGGCACAGATTGAAGAGTCAGCATTATCTGCCTCTGGAAATGAGCGGGGGAGGAGGGAGCCCGCAGCACATTTTTACAGACTGCAACTATCTTTCATAGTACAAAAGACTTTGGGGACATTTATTTCCAAAATTACAGCTGAACGCTATTCACCGAGCATTTGTCTCCACATGGATTTTGAAACGGCCAGGGTCTTGAAGGAGCCTCAACTGCCAGCTTTAATATGCTGCTTAATCAACAGGAGGATACAGCCCTTTCCTGAATTCATGGCCTGCATGTAAATACTTCATTCCTGATTACCTTTCACTGTGAAGAGTCAGATTTAGGTATAGAACCTGAAAAGCAAGAACCCAGCCTAAGAGACCTAAGGATATATCCTGAAGGTAAACATTTTAAAGAGTCTGAAAAGCTCTAAAAAGAAATAAACCAGTTCTACAAATTCACCCTTTGGAGCATAAAAATGAACAAGTGGGGCTGGTGCCTCCTCTCTGCTGCCTCACCTTGGTTTAGGAAGTTGATGGCTTTCATGCATGCATACTCCTCGTTGCTGACCTTCAGCTGGTTGAATTTGCGAAAGAGGTAGATCAGCCGCTCCATCACCTCCATCCCCTCCTCACTGAACCTGCAGGACAGAGATCACACATCAGCACACACAGCACATGCACTGCACACTGAAGGCACGAAGCTTTTTAAAGAGACTTCAGAGATTTTAACAGCTTGCAAGAGAATTTAAAAAAAGAAAATCATCAGAACTGCCTGAAGTCTGCTGGTACTAAAAATAAGGAGGAAAATGTTTCAGTTACAAATGCAGAATCATAGAACCATGGAATGGTTTGGGTGGAAATTACCTCAAAGCTCATCCAGTTTCATCTCCCTGCAAAGGGCAGGGACACCTTCCACTAGACCATGTTACTCAGAGTCCCATCCTGCCTGGCCCAGGGATGGCGAGTCCACAATCCACAGAGGTTTTTTTCCCTACAAATATCTCTTGGTGATTCAGCTCACCACCAACCTGTTCTGACTGCAGAGGGGGTTTCACAGAGCCAGGAATCTGTAGTGAAGCCAGTGACAGAGACGGGCAGCACAGGGCACACTGATGCAAAACCTCCTGGAAAATTGCCTGATGGAGATTTTTTGGGTGCACAATGAAGTCCTCCTGCTAAAGAGGGTGCCACATTTCATCAGGAACAATACCCCACGTGTGCACCATGAAAAAAACCACGGGGAAAGAGCAGGCTGGAGCAGAGCAGGAGGGTGTGGAGGGCTGTGGGTGTCTGCAGGCACCTCCAGACCATCCCACGCCTGCCCAGGGCCAGAACAGCCTCTTGGGAACACATCTCACAGCAACAGCCCTGGCTTGAAAGCAGCCACATATTGCAGAAGCGCTCAGAAGTGGGACAGAAGTGTTTCGGGAAGCTTCAGCGTGCTCTGGCATTGTGCAGCACAAAGAATAAGAGCACAGCCAGCAAACCATTTCTGAATAGAACAGAAATAGAACCTTTTTCACTGAATAATACCTTATTTTGGCATGTGTGTTTGTTTACTTCAAAGTTATTTGTAAAATGCATGGTGGGGTTTGACCTCTGCAAAGTGAAAACAAGCTGTCTGAACTCCGGGTCAGTTCTTCAAGAAAGTAATATTGTAAGTGATGAAAGCCTTGTCGGCTAATCTAAAGTTGTACAAGTTTTCTTGCTCTCCAGTTGACATTAAAAATCTTGCAGGTGCAAGATTGCAAAGCTCAAGAAGTTAATGAGCACAAAGACCACTCAGTCATCTGTTGGGTTTAATTGTTTTTAGAGCATGCACATTTTTACCAGCCACTCATCACTTCATAAATCCAGGAGAGCTCTTCTCTCATTCCCGCAGTTGAACTGTCTTACTTTTCTGCACATACTTTCCTCCCCCTTTCAAACAAAGCTGTTCTGTTTTTCACAGCCCTATTTCTTCTCGAGGACTAACTCCTCCACACACTTTTCCTCGCAGTTTACACCAGGCAAGTTTCTGGCTGGGAGTTGTCAAGATCAGCTGGGGAGGAGGGGGAAGGGAAGCGCTATCAGGAGTGCTGGGGGAGGTCAGGAGTCTATTCATTTCATATTCATCTTCAGAAAAACAGCATAATAAAAGAAAACATTTGATCTAGCAGGCAAACAGAACATTTAGCCAGTTGTCAGAAGCAATTAAAACAAAGGGGCTGTGGAGCTCATTCTATGCCTTTGTTTGTCACCTATGCCTTAGCACTGCTCTTGTCATTTTAAGAGCAGAAATTAACCCTGAAGTGCCAGACCATCAGCTCAGCGAGATCTCTCCAACCAGGTGTGAGCCCTAATGAAGCTCCCTTTGCAGTTATTCCTGATCAATGCCAGAAGAGCCAGGGGCTCTTTGAGAACACCCACAAATGGGACACCTCTTCAAAAGAGCCCCTCTCAAATCCAAAGGGACCAGCTTTTCCACGAGTGTTTTGGACAGGGAGACTGATACCCATGAGCTATCCCACTGCTGCTGGAGACAGCCAAGCCACGGCTGAAGGACCAGTGGGAGGGAGCCAGGCAGCTCCACACCCCTCATCTGTGCAGCTTCCTGATAAATGGCTTTTTGGGGGTGCACTCTCCCAGGTTACTAACGACAATTAGTGACACTTGAAAAGCTAAATCACAAGAAGAGACTGCAGAAGCATTCCTCTCCCAAGAACATCTATTTTCATCCATGTGCACAGATCTCCTCTGAAGGACCTTCAAGGCAACCAGCTCTGAATTGCTGGTTTCTGCAGGGCGAGGATTCCTCCTTTGTCTCGCTGTCTTACCTCTCGCTTGCATTTATCACAAACTCAAAATGAAACAAAAACTTCTCTTGTGAGGCTCTGACCAGGACAGCAGGAACAAAAGGACAGCTGAATGCATGAACAAGTGTTATTGTGGTTTTCTATGACCCTCTGTGCTCCTCGCAGGAGCTGCACCAGATGCACGATGAATGGCTGTGCGGAGCAGCGCTGCACAGGAACCTGTCCCAGGAAATGGGACACCTGGGGCCAGCTCCTCAGCCAGCCAGGGCCTCTGCTTGTCACAGCAGATGAACAAAGGAGCCCCCAAGAATCAGGAGACACTGCAATGGCCGAGGACCACAGCAGTGTTTTAAATCCCTGCTCATCAGACATCCCCTGGTGGCTCTGGCAGCATCGTGAGCCCAGAGCAAAGGGCAGGTGTTTAAAGGGAGGATGGGCAGCAGTTTCTGTAAACCCTGTTTTACCATGATATGGTGAGATTGGGACTCTACTACCAAAGGAAGAATCTGTCTGGCACCAAGACTACAAAATAAAACATCCAAACCAAAAGACAACGTCCTGACCAAAATGATAAATGAAAGGCAAGTTCCTCAGAGCATCAGATAGTCTGTACTGTGGAAAAAACAAGAGCTAAGTTGCAACATCTTTAAATTTATCTAATCAAAACAATGAAATAGCAATTAATAATGAACACTTTGATAGTACAGACAACCAGCTATGTGAACTTTCCACTGGACCAAAAGGTTTTTAAAGAACACTTTCTTTCCTGTGTCTCAGGGTTACCCAAAGTGTTGGTTACTTTTAACCTCCTCATAAAAAGGTGCTTGTAGGGCTCTGTTAGAGTACAATAGCATTGTTCCACGGAATTCAAACAGCCCCACACATCACCGTGCCCTTCCCTGCAGAAGGAAGTTGTGATCCAGCACTGACAAACCATGATGTGCTTTCTAAGCCGGGAACAACTGTTCCCTAAAAAAATACAAAAGGAAAACAGCACCAGGTAAAGTGACTGTCCCAGGAGGTGGTCAGGGGACATTTGTCTGTTGGGCTCCCATAGCTCCTCATCTCCAGATGTCACTGCCTCACCCTGGGCTCAGCCCATCTCACCTGTGCAGCTCATCATCAGAGGGAGAGTACTTGGAGGTGACATCTGCAAGGTCCCCAAAGATCCCTGTGTGTCTCACCTGTGCAGCTCATCATCAGAGGGAGAGTACTTGGAGGTGACATCTGCAAGGTCCCCAAAGATCTGCTTGCTGTAAACAGTCAGTGAGGAGAGCAGGATCAGCTCCTGCCACGTCGAGCTGAGCAGGCAGGTATAGTCCTTGATGGAGAGCTCACAGAAGAACGGCAGCTTCTTGATCCAAGCAATCTGCCTGAAAAGCAATTCATCTGCCAGACGACACAGCAACGCAAACAGCTCTGCCTGAGTCACTTTATACCTGCAGCACAGTTAATACAAAGGCAGAAAAAAAAAAACATTAAAAGCACTGAATGACATCATCTGATGAGGCACTGGGAAACAAGGCAAACGCCAAAGGAATTTGCCAGTGTCCAGGGTGTCACCTGGTGACACCACGATGGTCACCCCCCACCCTGCCCGGGCTGGGGCTGAGGGGAGTTCCTGCAGCCCCTGGGGTCACCCCCCTGCCCAGCACCCCATGCCAGACCCACACGCCCCAGCAGGATGGGATGGGGCGCGGCTTGCTGCTCGCACTTTGGCCGTGCCCCGCCCCAGGGGATGTCCCCGCTGTCCCCGGCGGTCACACGCACCCGTCCTCGATGAGCATGGGGGTGCCGAGGGGCTCCAGGTCCTCGGCACACAGCAGCTGGCTGATGAGGCTGTGTGACTGCGGCTCCAGGCTGCGCGGCTGCGGCGCCAGCAGCGCCGAGTGCGCCGAGTAGCTAAAAAGGTGCGGCAGGTACTGGTAGTGCGTGGACACCGGCGTGCCCAGGTACTGATCCCTGAGTGCAGCGAACCCGTTCAGCTCCACAGACCTACTGGAAAAGGAAAAGCTCTTCAATACGCCCCCAAAACTCCACCTGGCTCGTTGTAATGTCGCATCCAGCTCCATTAACGTGAATACAATAGGGAAAGCATGCAGAATGGAAATGCTTTTGTGCTCAGACTCTGCCCTGGAAGGAGCTGGGTGTGCACTGGCCACAGCCTGGCCGGGCACTGGTTCCACGTGAGAAGATCTGGGAGCTGCTGCTGAGCTGCCATTCAGGGAGCAAAGCAGAAACCCAAAACCCACCTGTGTCCAGCCTTTCCACCCCAGCTTCCTTACAGAGCCAGAATTTAGGATTGCACATTAAGTACTCACACAGCCAGTGAACACAAACAAGGCCAAGCTTAAACTGCAACTGGAAGCAGAAGGGATCAGGTCTGAGATTCTTGCTGTGTTTGCAATCAAAGGCTGCATCAGGAGGTTTGCACTCACAGTACCCGAATTCAGTGTAACACCACCAATTACTAACATAAATGGTTTTATTTTCAAAGTCTGAGCACAGTGCAGAGGAAGAGCTTATGCAGAATGAGCAGTGAAAGGTAATCAAGTTCTCAAGATCTGCAGAACACACAATCAATATAAACTGAGGGATATTTTAAATATAATTTAAATTTAAGATTGTCTTCCTTTTCTCATGAACATCTCACTTCCCAGTTCAATTCTTTTCAATCCAGTTTGTCTTAGAACACAATCAGAGAGGTAAGAATCTGCTGCATGACCAGTTTACACCAAGATGCACTCACATGCTCTCCCTACACTGACCCCAAGTATCATTCAGGGAAAGAAATCCAAGATTCCTGTAACACCAAATTCTTTCAGGGGTCATTCCCACCTTGAAGATGGAGTAGAAACAGGTGAAGGCTGGTTGCTCTCAGAAACTCCATTTCCAGGGGAACTGTGGTCACTGTCTCCGTTGTTGCTCCATGACATGTTTGCCTCTCCCTCAAATTCTTGCCCAGACATAATTCTCTCAATCTCTTCCTCTGATATCTGTCAAATACAGGACACAATGGTTACTTTGGCTGGGAACAGAAAAGCAGAGACTCTGTTTGCAAACACCTTGTTCAGTCACATCCAACAGGGCTGACCCTCCTGCCCCCCTGCAGGTACCACATCCTTCCTCTGCATTTAACAGCACACATGAAAAATTCTATTTACAGGTAATCGTGGTGACCTCCAGCCCCTGCAGCACCATTCAAGTGAGGGTAGCACAGCAGACAGGAACTGACACATGAAGAGATGATGTCAGATGGACATGGCAATGAGCTGTAAATCAGACCACCATCACACCATGAAAAACCTGGGAGTAATTGAGGCCAGAGCATTGGGAACATCACTCAGGGCTGAGAGGGAAAGGCAAAGAGGAGGTGGGGCAGGCTCTGGTTTGATAAAGCAATCAAGAGAGGCAAGGTGACACATATAAAACCAGTCAGGAAAACATTTACAGGGAGACACAGTTCTCTGTTTTCCTCCAGATAAGAATCAGGTGGCACCTGAAGTAGCAATTGAGCATCTAATACTTAAGTTCTAGAGAGTAACATATACAAAGCAAAAATGGACTAAATTTTTTTTTTAATTGAGTTCACTGTAATATAAAGTTTTAAGAAAGTGCTGGGCATGCTCCTGGAGGAATGTTCCACCACTAATGGAGAAAAGGCAACAAAAATTTAGAGGCTGCCTTTTTTTTTTTTTTTTTTTTAATTCTATGTTCCTTAATGTGAACAGCAGGAAACAGGTTTGTGTGGTTCCAGGCAGGTTTGTGTGGTGCTTGCTTGGCTCTGGGCTGAGTGCTCCTTCCCAGGCACTCAGACTCACAGAAACTCCTTTCAGTGTTATTTCTATTTTGCTAAAATAAACAGTAAACTTTTAAAAGACCCCCTTTCCAGAAGCAAGCTGGAAATGGCCATCATTCCTCAGGCGTGTGGCACAAGCTGCTGTGCTGAATTACCTCGTGCTTTACAAGGCATCTCTGCACAAGCTGTGCCATCAATCAGACAGACATTTACTGGTGCCCTGCTTGCCACAACTGAAGGGATTGCAGCAGGCAGATGGAGATTTACTGGGAGCCATGGAGGGACAGACGTCCTTGTGTGGCTCACAAAGGACAGGGTGCTGCTGGCTGTGTGTCCCTGCAGCACCCCAGGACAGCAGCACCCAGCTCCATTCACACCCCACAGCTCGTGAGGTGTTTCTGGCAGAGTCAGAGCCCTGCCATGCTGCAGAGGCACAGCCAGGGATGATGGAGGCTCAACCAGGCCAGCCCCAGCCCAGGCTGAGCTGCTGCTGTGGCCTGAGCCCAGCCCAGCCAAGGCAGGAGACCAAAAGGGAACATGGGGGGACAGCCACACGTGCTCACCTGGACAGGTCCGATGCTTTTGTTTCTGCCTCCTGGCATGCCATCCTCCCTGATTGCTGCAAGACACAACCAAACCTCAGTGAGCAACACTGCTGCCAGCTATTCCCAATCGACATAACTAGATACCTATGCTGAAAGAAGTTTTTATACCTTAAAAGATTAATTTTTTTAATTAAAGAAGTTTACAGAGAAACCTCCAGTGCCTGAGCAGCACACACCATGGCTCTCACCCCAAAGGCACAGACACATTGATGGGGCCACAGGCACTACTCAAGGATTTTGGTTTCTTCACGTGCTCCTTGAGTGACAGGTAATGAAGAAATAGCAATCCTTTATCACAATTAATTCCAGCATAATTTGAGAAGTGGCACATGGTAAGGAACCCTATCTGAGCCCTGGAAATAACCCAATGAATGCCCAGGACTGCTGGGAAATGAGATGTGGAGGCCAAATCCACTGCCCACAGCCCCCTGAAGCACCATGAGCCAGAGTCTCCCCAGACAGACACCAGCAGGGCTGCCTCCACACAGACACAAAGCTCTGCACTGGTGACTGCAGACCCTGCTGTCACTCCAGAGTGACACAGTGCCACTCCACATCTCCTACAGCCACCACAGAAAACAGAGGGGAGATGTTTGGTTGCCTGTTTAAAACTCCAGTTACCACACTGAGCTGCACAGCTGCATTTCAGAGGGCCAGCCCCATCCCTCAGCTGCATTTTTAAGGTTCTTTAAACAATTTCCAGGCAGCTCCAGTGAAGTCCAGCTAAGGGGATTAAGCTGGAGCAGGTTCTCAGCCTTCCTCTCCCCTCTGGCTGTCTCTGCAGGAGCCAGTGGCAGCCCTGCTCCTCCTGTGCCTCCCTCCCAGGCTGCTCCCCACGTTTATCAGGGCCCATCTCTTTCCCAGCACGACCTGGGCAGACTTGGCAGGAGGCTCTCCCCAGCTGCACGGTGACCTTGCTGCTGCACAGCCTCACCCTGGGGCTGCACGAGGCCCTCCCGCAGCACAAAGTGACACAAAAATTAAGAAAAAAAAAAAAGTTCTGTCCCAGAAAAGCCACGCTGCTGCTTGGTTTGAGATATCCTCAGCTCAGATGCTCCTGGTGCAGCTCAGGGAGAGCCTCAGGAGGGCAGAGGAGAGGACCCAGGGACCTGAACTGTGGCTTCCAAACCCCAACCACTGACCCAGGCAATGCACAGCACTGGCTGTTCATTTCCTATGAAAACTCTTTATAAAAAATATCAGTTTCTCACTAAAAGAAAAAGAATAATGTAAAAAAAGCTTCATAATTAGTTGTTACCCTCTTTAGGCTTTTTTAACTTACTGGAACTACAGGAATTCTGGGGGAATTTTTCTGATTTTTCAACATATTTTACCACTAACTGTGCTTTAGAAACTTTCCTTCAGCTCATTCCATTATGAGCCCTGGGCATAAATTGTCTTAAGTCTTTTGATTTCAGAGCATAATTTTAGCAGACAATAGCTTACACCTGCAACAAAATGTAGGAATGTTTTTGCTGGTGGTCCATCAAAAAGGCCTCAAGAGACCCAAATGATTCCCAAATACAGATGGAGTCTCTGGAATATCATCCTGGCCCTGGGCTGCATGACAGCCACTGCCCTCAACACTGGTTTTCCAATGCCAAGCTCTGCATCTCATCTTAATTTAAAAATGATTGTATTTAGACCTAATATTGAAGGGATTTTGATTTTCCAACCCAACAACACTGTAACTTGGGCACCAGAGCTGGAAGAGAAAGCTCCAGAAGCCAACACCGAGGAGCCTCAGGGCTGCCCGTGGCCTCCCTGGCCTTGGCAGAGAGAACAGTGGTGAGGGAAATTCACGCAGGTGTTTGGAGACGGAAGAAAAAGGGGAGGAGAAAATGAAGAGAAGAGGAAAAGAGGAAAAGGAAAGAAAAGGGATCAGGGAAGGCAGGCGAGCGACCACCAGGTGGCGCTGTGCCCCCGCAGGTGAGAGCCACCCCCAGGTGAGGGACCCGAGCATCCCCCAAAACCAGCACACACCTGACCCCCAGGTGAGGGATCTGAGCATCCCCCAAAACCAGCACACACCTGACCCCCAAGTGAAGGATCCCTGAGCCACCCCCAGACCCACAGCACACCCCTGACCCCCCCAGGGCTGATCCCAGCTCTCCCAATCTCGGCCCTGATGTGCCTTCTAAGAAAGATCCTGGGGGATTTGCAGTGGATTTATGGAAGTTTCAGTGCCTCTGACAGGCGGCTTTCACATGAGCAATGGCCCAGAGGCCACCAACAGCCACATCTAAAACCATGTGGTGACACTGGGGTTTGGCAAACTGCCTCATGGCCAGGGGAGCACAGCCAGCTCCTGCTTGTGCCACCAAACCAAGGAATCCCAGCTTTTAACGGGTAGCAGCAATTCCAGAGGTTAAACACACAAAAGACTGGAGTGAGGAGTGGAGATGTGACACTGAAATCAACCATAGCCTGTTCTTTATCACCCATTTCTGAGTTACTTCACACTGTCTATCCCGAAGATGGTACCAGAGCCTTCCATCACCTCTGCACTCGTGGGGATAAAGAGTGCCCGTCCCTTACCCAGAGCACAACTTTTCAACCAGAGCACGTGGTCAGTGAAAACCCTCACACCTCACTCATGGGCAGCAGCTGCTGGTCTAAGTCCCCACAACAGCAAACAGGAATTTTGGAATTTTCTCGGGATTCTCAAATCCTGTTCAAATGCTTTTATTTTTGCCTCGTTAGTAGACTGAAGCACAGAAACAGTGACCACTTTCCTTAGCGTAAACACAAAATACTCTCAAAATATTTATATGTGCTTTCAACTCACACAGATCGTTCCTCCACACAGGAACGAGGTTATCTCAGAAATCAAAATCCGTGCCTCGCTTTCAACCCACGCACGATTTTGCTTTGTTTCGTTTTGCCGGGAGTTTCCAGAACTGCGGTCCAGGACGGCAGGTGAGGGAGGGGCAGCCCCCACTCACCCAGCAGTGCTGTGTGTGTGTCCGTGTGTGCCCCCCGTGCCCGTTACCTTTGCGGTTCATGCCCATCTGCAGGCACTTGAGCAGCCGGCAGTACTGGCAGCGGTTGCGCTGCTTGCGGGACATGACGCAGTTCTTGTCGCGGCTGCAGCGGTACACGCGCTTGTTGCAGATGCTCCTCTTGAAGAAGCCCTTGCAGCCCTCGCAGGAGATGATGCCATAGTGCAGCCCCGTGGCCCTGTCCCCGCAGATCAGGCAGGTTCGCTGATCCACCCGCTCATCTGCAAGGCAAGAGGGGGGGAAAGGCTGTGAGCAGGGCCTGGGGTTCTGTCGGGTCGGGGTCACTGAGGGTGAGGATCCATCCCACAGCACTGCAGGGGCGGCTCCATCCTCCCCTTCCCCACTGCCAGGCAGGACCCTGAGCAGCCTCCACTGACCTTCCTGCTGTTCTCAGCAGAGAGAAACAAACTCTGGAAAAAACTCAATTTTTCCCAATGGGGAAAACAGGGGTTCTAAAATGTCCCACCTCAACTGCACAGAGTAGGGTGTGCAAATACAGAAACCTGTCAGACACCAGCGACACTGAAATCCTGTCACATCTCACACACTCCATGGGACACCTCCAGGCTTCAAAAGCCTCACTGCACCAGCCACCAAGAGAACATCATTACAGAAAACAGGGTACAGCTAAAGCCACAGTGATGTTACTTTACTGATCCTTTTCCAAACCTTTGGATGACTAAAAATGTAAATTGCAGGGCTTTCCACAACAGGAGCTGTCACATTAAATTCAGTATTTTAAGACTCTAACACTGCCTGAGAGAGAGAGCAGAGATGATACTCAGCCTGGTGAGATCTCCAGACAGGGATGTCAAACAGAAAGGAAAAATAAATGATGGTGAAGAGTCCCAGGTATTTAAGCCAGAATCTGCACAGAGGCCTAAACCCCAATTCAACCAAGTCAGCTGTGCCTAAAATAATGCCAGTAAGTTGCACCAGCAGCTCTTCCTGTAGCAGATGTTTCACAGCTCAGCAGTTTAACCCCTTGCACACCAGGCCAAGCTGCCTCCAGCCCCTACCTCATGTTTTAACCCATTAAAATCCCAACAGCTGCAAAGAGACCTGCACTGCAAAGGTGGGAGCTATTCAAATATATTCAGGGACACACAAACCTGCAGTATGCCAGTATTCTCCACGGGGTTGCTTTCCCAAATGTCAAACAGGCATTACCCAGATCACCCTGGCTGAGGCAGGCACCGAGAAGGGAAAGGAACCACTCCACCAACCCTTCCTAGGGATGCAGGTTAAACCAGGCTGTTTCTGCTGTTCCTTGGCCTGATGGCAGGACAGTGGCATTGCCCACGGGGCCCAGGCAGGACCCAGGAGGTGGCACTGGGCACAGAGCAGGGCACAGAGCCCCCGTGCCCACCATCCACTCTGGGAGCTCAGACGCAGCTGCACAAACCCACACCCCCTGCTCCTGTTTGGACACAGACCTTGAAAAACGCCCCCAGCCTTTGGATGGCACTGGCTTGTGAAGCTGAGCTGAGTCAAACTCGCTTCAGCACAACAACACCAAGCCTGACTTTCCTCGTTTAGATTTGACCAGGGAGTTTTCTGACACAAAGCTGTTTATCTACAGGATGGATTTTTGGAGCAGCAGGAGGCAAGAGTCACAGTGCAGTCTTCTCCAGCCTCAGTAAAGCCCAAGCAAGCTGACAAACCAGGGTGTAGCTTCTTACTACTGCAACACATGTGAAGGCAAGAGAAATGAATGAGCCAAATGTACTGGGACCAGAAATTAAACCAGTTTTCAGTTACACAAGCCAAGTAAAAATCTAAACCAGCTGCTCCTACTCACAAGCAGCTTTCTCCAGAGCTTAAACCCAGTAGAAACCAGAACCAATCTGTGTTAATCTCTAAAAGGTTTGCTATGCACAGCATGCACATTTGCACTGTTCTGCAAATTTCACTGTTACAGAACACTAAAATAAAGGGATGAACAAAGGAAACACAAACTTTAAGACAAGAAACGTTCCTGATCCGCACCAAAACATTCCCAGTTTTACATGATAGACCACCTCAGGTATGTGCTGAACCCAAAGGAATGTGGGTACAGATCAGGAGTGGGGCTATCTGAGCATCTCTGAAGGGAGGCAGCTAAACATGACTTTGTAGTCACCAAGGGCATAATCTCCACCTTCAGCAATCTGATAAACACGGGGAGGGGGCCGGGGATTAGCCAGGACAGAGGAGTCCTCTATCTGCAGGGTTTAGCTCAGGCTCAGCTTCACCCCTGGCCCTCCCCCTGCTCGCACAGCAGTGCCATAAATCCCGGGTGTGGGGGATCCCGGGGTCAGCAGCAATGCCTGCGCTGGGCAGGAATCACCACCGGGTCCCACACATGGCCAGAGGCAGGACAGGACACCCTGGGTGTCCAGCACAGCCCCCGGGGCTCCCTCCTCACCCCACAGCCCTGGCTGACCATGTCAATGAGGGCTCATTTCCAGGCACAGCTTTTTTTGTTGTGGGAAGAATAGGGCAGTCACCCAGCCAGTGTGGGAAGCCCGGATGATTAAAGGGAGAAGGAACCAGAATCCTTCCCCTGCCGTCCCCATCTCCCCAGGAGGAATCAGAATCCTTCCCCAGCCGTCCCCATCTCCCCAGGAGGAACCAGAATCCTTCCCCAGTCAAAGGGGAGATGGTGTGAATGGCCCCTGGCCACAGGAACTGCAAACACTTCCAGCAGAAACTGCTCCTTGGGTTTCCAGATTAAAATTGGCTGTCGAGCAGCAGCACACCCCGTAAACAAAGACACAAACCCCAGGGACCACAGAGGTGTCTGTGCTCCCCACAAACCTGGCACAAACAAAACTGGGAGATCACAAATCTCCCTACAGAAAGTCTTACAGGTTTAGATCTTTTAAAAAATCCTGCAGGGACCACAGCCAGGCCCACCTTGCTGCCCTGTACCCACGGGTTTGCTGCTCCTGACCTTTGCCAGTTTTCACCCCAGTAATGCAGTGCCTGGTGTGGGTGAAGGGTGGGAGAGATGGGGCAGAACCACAGTGAACTTCACAGAAATGGTAAATCTAAAGCAGTTTTGCACTGAGGGTGCTCTGAGCTCCCTTAGCTTTGAAATTTCACTAGAACACCAAAACACACAATAAGAATAGCAATTTTTAAGTGAATAAGCCCTCCCTCCTCCCTGTCTCTGTCCCCTTTCAACTCACTGATTCCTCTGGTTTCAAATGCTACACAAGACAACACAGATTAGGACACAAAGCAGTTGATAAGAAATTTTTTCAAATACCTGTTTTATTTCGGAGAGAGAGCTGAGGAAGCTTCCCCCTGCCCCCCTGCCCAGTTTTCCTGACGGGGCTTACATTTAACAAACTCATACACGGGATATTCTGGCTTTGTTCTCCCAACCCATTGTAGCAGGGGCCACTAAATCAAACAGTTGCTGCTACGACAAAAGCACTCACAAAAATCTCAACCTCATCTTGAACCCTGAAGATTTTTATGGCTACTCCCTCACTAGCCCCTCCCCGAAGCCACATTAAAGGATGTATTGTTTTCAGAGGTCATGGTAGGTTTCATACCACATACAATGTAAATTCTCCAAGAATATGACGATGCTACACAAGAATCACAGAATATATGGGGTAAAAAAGAGGAAAAATCTCTCCTCATCTATGTTTTATACGACAAACAGCAAAAGTAATACATTTAATTTTTCAAGAAACTGACTTTTCCCCTCAGCAAAATGAGCAGTCTTGATAATTTTTTAAAGAAAATTCCTATGGATTTCCAAAAGGAAATACCTTACAATCCTGCTGAAACACATAGCAAAGACCCGAAGAGAAAGCACTGCGGAACGTGAATGAGATTCTAAAACACACAGCAAATAAATTAAAGCATGGAGACACAGCCAGCACATCCCTGTCACTGCTCCCACCTGTGCCAGTCCAGTGGGGGAGTGGCACTGCCACATTCCGGGAGGGGACCAGGAGCTGCCTGCATCTGCAAGTCCCCACACCCAGCCCTGGGGACCCGACTGAAAACTCTGCAGCAACTACAGATCCCTGAGAGATTTACCTTGGAAACCTGGTGGTGTGTTGGTGCAGCCGGCTTGTGGGGCTTTCCGTATTAGTGCTTTACGATGGAACAGAAACAAAGACTTTATTTCCAAAAGAAAGGCCAAAAGGGAAGGCACAGCCCCTCACCCAAACCCCAGGGTTTGGCCTGGCTGGAAAGCAAGAGGGAGAACACAGAAAGCTGCTGCTGGCAAAACTTCCCATTTATACAACAGAACGTGAATTTACGGCTAAGGAGATCTTTCACAGCTGAAAAAAATTACAAGCAACACTCAGCACTGCAATTCACTAATATATTTAACATCTTTTCAGCTGTGTGCTAGTTATTTGCTTCTTGATTAACTGACCCTATCGCAGCCCCCTGCAGCACCCTTTAACTGGGTTTAAATCTCAAGCTGCTAAATACCAGCTGTTTGGGGAGGGGGGCGGAGGGGGAGATCTCACACATGTGTTACTTAAATCCCAACCGCATCTCACTCTCCTCTCGCCTCTGGTGATGCCTCGAACACAAACAAACGCCTTGGGGTTTCTTTCCCCCTTTATTTTTCCTAACGATGTTTTTCATTGTCAATTTTTAGTTTCGAGAAAACCATCCTGTGAAACTCAAGCCCCAGAACTGGAGGAACTCTGCCCTCGCTGCGGAGCGCTGCATTGTCCAAACAAGCCCACCCCCAAATCAGGCGCCTTTGCTTCAGGGGCTTTTTTTTTTTTTTTTTTTTAACTTATAATCGATGAACACAGGGATTAAATTTTCTGCTCGGGACGGCAGAGCCCGTGGCCGGGCGCACAAAGGGCCGGGGCGTCCCGCTCCTGCTCGCCATCGACCCCGCAGATGGGGGTCCCAGCCCCACGCTGGAGGCGGGCGAGCGCTCCGCGTCCTGCCTGGCCAGCCCGGCTCAAAGAGCAGATTGTGCTGCCCCGGATCAGGCCGGCCATGGGGAGAGCTGAATAGAATTAACCCTCTGTGAACTAAAACAAAAACATTTGTGTACCCAGCTGGGAGAAAGGTTAATTTAAATGGACAAGCCTCCTGTAAGAAAAAAAAAAAAAAATAGAGGAGGGGAAAGAAAGAGGCAGCCTGCAACCTTATTCTGTGCACTGTAATAAGATGGTCTACTCATAGAATCTCATTTTTAAAAGCAGTACGTGAGTACTGGAAAGAGGAGAAATGCTGCACTAGA